CCAGCCAAGGAAAGTCTTGGAAAGAGATGGGATCATTCCAGTTCAATCTGATCTAGAAAAATCTCCAAATTACATAGGATCATCTCACTACATCACAGACAAATCCAAGCAGGGGACAAGATCACCCTGAGTCAGAATAGGACAGGGAGATCCCACAACAGGAATAGAATTATTGAATAGCATGCTTAGGCTGCTGGTGACTCAGCATGACAGGGGAAAATACTCCTGAAATGCACTAAGGTTATTCTGTAACATATAATCATAGGTAAGTTCCCAGCAGCTTAAAATATTATTGTCCTTTTCCAGCAGTTTCCATTTTTTACATGTTGCAGTATTTTGTTTGTAAACCAACTATTATGTTATGGTAGGACCTGGATGAACCTAAGGTTGAACTGGGACAGTGATTCAGAGTAGCCCTCACGTAGGTTCATCCCAAGTCACATGAAATTGCATAAGCATGCAGAGCACACCTTTCAGCCATTTTTGTTTTCACAAAAATTTATAATCAATTGTATGCGTGGGGACATATAGTGGATAAAATGGGTGTTGGCTTGTGGATGCTGGGCTGCCACAAAGAGCCAGCAATTTGTCTCATGCAAGACATGTTCTGCCTTTGACAATGATGCAGCAGAGGGAAGGATAATGAATATGTAGTACTTACTCGGACTGGTATCTTTGTGCATTTTTCAGTTCAGGCACTTGGATAAAGCTGCACAATTCAAAAAAATATCATATCTTTTGGATCAGCACATTAAATGGATTTGTGACATATCTTTGCCTGGTTGCAAGAGTGTTACATTATTTAAAGTTGGATGAGCCTGAATGAGAGGTATTGTAATCCTGCAGATGTATATGCTTGGTATTGTCAAACATCTTGTATTCCTTTGACTATAAGCCATTTTAAGTAACATTGATAGAAATCCAGGGTAGATAAATCTACTTTGTGATATGCAGTAAATTATATGATAAGTAGGAATGACAAAGTTATATAGTCAGTTAAGGAAAAGAGATATGGTTGAATTATCTCCTAATCAACTGAATTAAATCAGGTTAATTTGTAAATGGTTATATGTCACAATTAGTTACACTAACCTTTGGTCAAAGTCTCCTCCATCAATCTATAGTATATGATATTACACTAGAAGCTGGACAAATTAAGGTTCAATTGAGAGTAAACACCATTTGAAATTTGTATATATGTTATAAATGATGAAAGCAGGTAGTATTGTATTCTGCTTCATGGCTATTAGTACTATTGATAATGTATTGATGTTGGCTACATTTATGCAGGAACTATTTTTGCAGTAAAGCCCCCCTGACACCATGTGACATGTGGCAAATGTCTGGGATTATCCCACCATAACAAATGGTCTGATACCATGGGAAAATCCCAGAAGGGTGGTATTATCCCACTTCTGGGATGATCCCATCCTTGCTGGAGCACTTGGGATGATACCAGGAAAAACAAGCTCTTAGCTTTATACATTTACACAGATAGTTGAAGCTAAATGCTTATGTTTTGGGGGTGACTGAAGTGCCCTTGCACCCATTTCGTGCCGGGCCATTCGGCTGCATCCTGCGGTCTTGTGTTGCAGGTTTGTAATAAATCGTCTCTCTCATCATACTCGTCATGGTCCCCCTACAAGCTTTGTTTTCCATCTCATGCTAACAGTGTCACAGGTTGCCCTCGTTCCTACGACAAATATTTGGAAGGAGTTATCGACCTCGAGCCTCCTTCACACTGTACAGGGTATGAAGAGGCGGGGAACAATGACAGCGATGACCACGACAAAGAGGGTTCTTCGCCAAAGTACTGACAGAGCTTAGACAGACGCCTGCACTGCATTGTGGAGGGTGAAATGTAATTGCTTGGATATGTCTAGCAAATGAATAGCTCAGACTTCGAATGAATGTCTGATATATTGGAATAATGTACCTAGCAAATGAATAGCTAAGAAACCAAGGATAAGCTAGGTACTCGTAACTTTGATACAGAAGGGGAATCTCACCTCAGACTTCAAATGAATGTCTGAGGTGTCTGTCTAACAACGACAGGATATATATGGGAGAACGGAATCAAAAAATTAAATGCTATCTGATGGCACACGGGCCACTCCATCTACTAGGCCTGCCTAGTTTGGCACTTGCACCACTTCCTCTCTTCGTACAACACTTGTTTCTCTATCTCCAACACTCCCCCTCAAGCCGTACGGAGTCCGAGCGTGTTGGCAAAGTGCTTGACTTTGGCTGAAGGCAAAGCCTTTGTGAGTACATCCGCTGTCATGCCTTCGGTTGGGCAATAGCTGATCTCGACTTTTCCATCTTCAATAGCATGTCGGATAAAATGGTAACGAATATCAATGTGCTTTGTTTGAGCGTGATATTGACCATCCTTGGCCAACGCAATTGCCGATTGATTGTTGCATCATAGATCTGTTGGAGGTAAGTCTTCTCCGAATAATCCGCTGATGAACATTTGCATCCACAGGATTTCTTTTGTCGCATGGGTGGCTGCGACATATTCAGCTTCCGTTGTGGACAATGCGACTATCTCTTGCTGCTTTGAATACCACAAAATGGCACCTCCATCAAGTATCATGGCGTAGCCGGATATGGCTTGCCTTGTTTCATTCATGCTTCCATCTGCATCTGTGTATCCAGTGAGTCCATGCTCATCTGGTCCGTACACTAACCACAACTCTCTGCTTCCCTTTAGATATTGAATTACTCTTTTGGCTGCCTCCTAGTGAGCAGGACCCGGATTTTTGACAAATTGTGAGAGAATTGTGACAGCATGCGCAATGTCAGGGTGAGTGCCAATTGCTGCGTACATCAGCGATCCCACCGCCTCTCTAAACAGGACATCTCACATCTCTGCGTAATCCTCTGGTGTTTTAGGAGATTGGTCCTTGCTTAGGTACATGCTTGCCACCATTGGGATTGCTAACATTTTTGCATCTTCTAGGTTGAAGCGCCTGATTATAGTGTTGATATAGCTGCGTTGGGAAAGGTACAGGGTGCACGTCACCCTATCTCTTTTAATCTTGATACCTAACATCCAGTGGAATTCCCCCAGGTCGCTCACTTCAAATAACTTTGCCAGATTGGCCTTCAGGCATTTCATGCTAGCTGCTGATGGTGTGATTAGGGTCATGTCATCGACATGCACGGCAATTATAGTGAGTCCTTTGTTTTCGCATTTGAAGAAAATAGCGTTATCTGTTTTGCACCTGACTAAAACTATCTTTTTAAGTCCATCGCATAACATTTGGTACCACCTGCGCCCGGCCTGTTTAAGACCGTATAGGGTCTTGTTTAGACGTAGTACCATCAATTCACAGCCACAAGTGCTGTATCCAGGTGGTTGCCGCATGAAGATGACCTTGTTGTTGTCCAGCTCGCCATTTAAATAGGCACTTTTGATGTCCATTTTGTGAGTCTCCCAGTCATTTCTTGCGGCCATTGCTAATATAAGTCTGAGGGATGCCATCTTGGCTACAGGGGCGAACATGTAAATAGTCAATTCCTTCAACTTGGCTGAAGCCCTGGGCCACCAGCCTGGCTTTTTATTTGTCGACGTCGCCAGAAGCGGTCCTTTTGATCTTGAACACCCAATGGCTGCCTACAACATTGGCACCTTTCGGTTTTTCGGTGTAAGTCCAAGTTCCTGCCTTATCTAATCTTTCTAGCTCTTCTTTCATGGCTAACTCCCATTTATCCCAATCTGGGCGTCTTTGGGCTTCTTCAACGGTCCTCGGCTCGATGCCATCAAGATCGGCCATGTGTGCGACCATGGCCACATTTTGGGCCAAGTCTCTCAGGGCCTCGTTGTTTTGCTCTTCTTCATCGCTCCCATCAGCATTGTTGATATTTAGCTGGATTCCTCTTGGTAAAATGGGTCCTTTGTCGAGTCCTGATACTGACCCTTTTCCCTGAAGTAGGTCACGCACGTACTGCGCTGGTTGACAGATTCAAGTGCTTCAGCGGGGGGCTGGGGGTTGAGGAAGAGGAGGAGGCTGAGGACAATTGTCAAGATGATTGAGATTGAGGGGATTGGGGGGAATTTGCTGCACTTTGGGTGGAGCGTAAGGTGCATCTTCATTGGGAGCAGCCTCAGCATCATACAAGTCAATGATTTGACTCCCTTTTGGAGCTTGTGGTGTTACAGGATCATTCTCCCCCTCAAGTCTAAAGGGGGTCTGATCATCATTGCTGCCCGGTGAGTCACTCACAGGTGCAAAAATGACAGATCGCTCCACGCTAACAGTTCATTTGTCTGGCCAGAAAATCCGATGGTCTTTACTCTTGGCATTAAAACCCATCCATCTCCCAGTGTGCGCACGTGCATCAAGTTTAGAGCCACCGCTATAGTGCACCAATACCTGGCAGCCCCATTCCTTCAAAGTAGAGAGATCTGGTTTTACGCTATGGGCCGCTTCGTGTGGTGTCATCCCAGTAAGTGCCTTTGTTGAGGTTCAATTCTTGAGTCAAACAGCATGTTTGACTGCCCACCCTGGGCCGCTTCGGTGAGAGCTTCCCACACACCTTCAGACAGGGTTTCTCTGTAGTAGAGAATGTGTCTCAGAGGCAACCTCTTCAAAGAGGCTTACCCTTATATCCTAGTCGGGATTGTAGACTAGCTAGCCTTGTATCTATACCACATTTCCAATGAATATGTAGAGGGTTGTGACCTCCTCGCAGGAGGCTCGGATATATGTCAGCTCAAGAAGCTCATTCTGATCAAGCGGGTATAGGCTCTTTGAGCTTGCAACTGGGTTGTTATGTTTTCTGCAAAACATAGAGCTCACAAGTGTTTGGAACACTCTTTTTGGAGGCTCATTTACCAGTGCTCAGGTCAGGTATGTTTTTTTTTTGTGTTGCCAGTTATCACTTCCAGAGGCTTGGTGCTTACTGGACGTATGCGGTATTAGTTCTGAATGAGCCTCGTGGACTATTGCATTATACATACAACATTCGGTAATATTTTCTACTACCAGATACTAAGGAGCCATGTGAGAACGCTCAATGACAACCTCAACTCGTCTCCTCTTTGAAGGAGTGTGTTTATCACCACCACCTTCTTGCGGATTGGGCTCACTTCTGTGGTGAGTGTGCGCCTTGCACTTTCTTTTGCTGACACGGGTTGCAGATGCGTTGGTTTGGCGTGGTTTGCCTTTACGGTTGGTGGACTGATCGGCAAACTTTCTCCATCCGGATGAATGGCGGGAACTGGGTGGGGGTGCAACACCCAGGATAACGGGCTTGGTACAGTTGATCAACTGAGCTATAAACATGTTAGATACAATAACAACGGTATAATAAATCACACCTTTGATCTTTGGGACTGCCTTGAAGTATAAGCGCTCCAGGCCTTTGTCTTGAAGGCTGCAGACGAGTTTAGCGTGCTCTGATAGAGTGAGATCCGAAATGCCTTTGGGCTTAGTTGTGGTGGGCCATTGTTTGCCCGGCATTAGAACCTTCCACGGCCAGTTGTAGCAAACAAGCCCATGCTCTGCGAGCCCGCCGGCCATTCCTTTCCAAGGGAATAGCTTCTTGGATGCAAAATTGTGGCCAAGAGCCTCTGGATGTCAAGCCAGCATGTTAACATGTTACCAGGTTGTCTCCAAATGGAACCAATCCAGTTAAGCCGATATCAACTTTCTAATCAGGTTAATATCATCTGTGGCCTTGCCCAAGCCAGCCGTGTGGGCATCTTTGCGGCTGTGGTCAGCTTCATTCCCCGGCGCAGTGTGCTCTTCTGCAATATTGCTACCAAAGGCTCTCGCTATTGTATGGAAGGAGTGTCGATTACTAGTGAAATGATGGAATAAGCATACCGCTTCAAGATAAACAAGGGACTTACTAGATGTGAGTTTTAAAATTACTTGTCATCTGATCATCATCCATGCAGCAACGGACACGGAAGAACTGAGATTACATGAGTGAATGGTTTACTTGAGGGGTAAGATATGAGACTTACATCCGTAGCACCTGCAGTAGTGTGAACAAGAGTGAGTGATGCATTTCGATTCAATGAGCTACCGGCCATCACTAGTGCAGCCTCAAAACCATGTTCTTTGGCAAAACTTTCCACCTAGCACTCGTTAGTGATCACACTTTTGCGCCATGAATATAGCACTTACCATGCTCATAAGTTTTTGCTTGGCCTGATCAAAGTCTTGAGCACGCTCATCAACTGTTCCTGAGATGTCAGAATCCGGGGTGTTTTGTTGGTGAGAGAGAGCCACAAGGACGTCTGACTGGGGAGAGGCTTCGAGTCCAGCCAGCTGTGGAGAAGGAAGAGCCTCAGATGTCGGACTAGTAGCATTTGGCATCATTTTATGTATAAAGGTGAAGCTTTTGAGACTCTCAGAGGGTATATTCTACCAAACAAATAGCTAGGTCCAGGAATAGGACCAGCCATAGGCCATTAGATACGATCAGAGTCTGAACAGGCTAGAGCGTCAGAGCGCTAGACACGTTTAGTATGCTGATGTAATCAATTGGATGTGAGAATGGCTATTTGGAATATGCATTTATAGATAGAACAACTTACCTTGAATATATAGTATCAATTTTGAGTACAGCGTTGAGGGAGGCAGGACCTGCTGAAAGGATGAGATGTGTCAGAAATCCATTGAAATTGTCAGCATCAAATGTCCTGCAAGTCACTCAATACGATGTAGAGATTAGTGGGAGCCTACTCAACCATCAAGCCCGCAGGGAGATTTGTCAGCAAAGGTGGTCTATACAGCAGTAAAATCACAAAAAAAACGAGCATAATACATGTGGTATGATAGCGTCAATAAACAAACACACGGAACGGCAATACATGTTTGGATGAAGAAGTCGGGCGGCAGCAAGATGATCAAAAATGATGGACAATGCTGAGGAGTATACTGTTATCTAGGGGGGGGGGGTGGATGCTCCGCAGCGGGGTAGTAGTAGCTGTTCAAAGCATCTGCGCCCATGTCTCTGCCTGGTAGGCGCCAGGTTGTACTCCAGGGTCTTGATAAAGCCCACCTCTGCGTCCGTGTATGTCACCATAGAGTGGCAAATGACTATACCCATTACCATACATAATATGGCGGGGGCCTGCTACATTTTGTGGGTCAAGCCAGGGTGCTTGGTATGCCTGTCTCTCTCCAAAATCAGGCCCATGGTTGTATTTGTGGTAGAGACCCTCCTGTGATCTACGCTGCATCATCATTTCTTGCGCACGAGGTTCCTCATCTTGACGTTGACGGATCATCGGGCCAGCATTGTATACACCTGATGCAAGAGGCTCTTGGGTGCCAGCTTGCTGGCCAACATTAAAGCCCTCTTCAGCAGCACGCAACCGCACAGACATGGTGGAAGGGGGCGGTGTTGATGATGAGAACTGTTGTTAGAAAACCACACACAAAAAAACTAACTAACACACAATCCTCCCAGATTCCACGGAACTTGTTTATGGGCTTTGCCTCCTAGAACAGTGGGTGCTCTGGTTGTTCGTGGGGTGGTATGTATAAAGATCCTTCAAAGTAAAAAACCCAAAGGTGTATGAGTGTGGGTTTTGAGGAGGAGGGATAGTTGAATTTATAGAAAGATAGGGGCTTTGTGACGAGTATAGACAAGCACTACCTTGCTAATCGTAGCACAAGGTAGGTTTGAGAACAATGAGGATGACGATGTGACAAGGTTCCCAGTGATAGCAGGCTCCTGACGCACAAACTGTAGTGCTCAGAAGGACTCTAATCGAAAGGGATGACAATCACTTTCAAAAAGTGACGAGTGACGATGACAGCAGTTAACAGTGGTAGAAGTGGGAAGTGTTGTGACCACACTGGATCACAAGTAGCAGAGTAGTGAACTTGAGAGTAGAGAAGAAGTCTGGATTGGATTTCTTGTTCTTTTACAAGGTAAAATACAGGGGTTTATATAGTGAAAGAAAAGTAGGCTATGCACAGTATAGCTGTGCAAAAAGAATGAGAAAGAACATGAAGGAAGGAATGTATGCTGATGAATCCTGCGTAGGTAGTACAGGATAAGATTGTCAAAAAAAAAAAAAAAAGAGATAGAACAATGAATGCTATGAGTAATGTCACAGGTTTATACAGCCATAAAGTAAAGTCTAATAGCAAAAAGAGAGCAGGAAAATCATGATGTCATGGGAAGATGCAGTAAAAAAAGGGCAAGGCAAAACACTATCAGTATCAACACAGTTCCTTTATTGTCAGTCAGGCATTCTAAAAAAATATGTGTCCATAAAAATGATTCAAAAATCAAAAATAATTGCACTGTAAATGAATGTTCTGCTGAAGAAAAAGAAACTGGAGCCACCGGTCCACCACCTATTCCAAATCCAACAGTTCCATGGCCTTACCAATGGACTGGTTGTGTTGGACCACCTGATCAAACGAGAGAGGGAGAGGAGTAGTTCCAATTTGGAACAAGTGAGTCCCAGGCAGCATGTGGTAGGTGTAGCTTTAGCGAAGACGATGGACAAAAGATAAGTGTACCCAAGTGAATGGGACAGCGATGAACATGGGAGACGCAAGGGGATGGACCTTCTCCAGCTCAAAAACTACCCACCCACGCTCCAACCAGGCAAGACGAGCGACCGATGTTTTGATAGTATATGATGGCAGATCGACTTCATGAAGATGGACCTGTTGCCCTATTTGGACCGGCTGCCGGGTCTTTGCTGATATCAGCAGTGGCACGTGGTAGTCAAGGGATCGGCGACGGAAGCAGATAGGAAGTGATGACATCAGAAATGGTGGGGGTGCAAATAAGATGAGGAGGAGGAGGGTGGAGGTGACAAAAAAGTGGATTAGAATGGGGATCCAGAAACAACCGTCAGGTGAGAATAAAAAAAAGAGGAAGGGGCCCATGGTGGGGCTAGGCAAAGGAAGGAAGGGGAGTAAGGGAAATGACAAAAGCAAGGGCGCAATGCAATGTGTAGCCAGTGGCGACATAAAAATTTGCCAAAATGCCGAAATGCGGAAAGTACCGGATGGAAAAGCAAAGGTGAGCATGACTGGATTGCCTAATAGTGGTGGTGCTGATCAGCCACAAGATTGAAAAAGGCAATATTAATTACTATTCCACGTGGCACTGTGCCTGTGTGGCGCAAAGGAGAGTCTTTTTGAATATTTGCTTCGTTATTGACACCTGTCCATGCTACCAATCAACTTTGGTGCATGACAGCGTATGATTATGGACTATTGTTACGTGAATGAGCACATGGTTAAAAATGTGTATCCGCTGCCTTTGATCAGTCAGCTAGTAGACAAATTGGCTGGTGCCAAGATCTTGACAAAGATGGATCTCAGATGGGGGTACAATAATGTACGAATCAAAGAAGCAGATGCTTGGAAGGCCGCGTTCACGTGCCACCGAGGATCCTTTGAACCCCTTGTTATGTTCTTTGGGTTGACCAACTCGCTGGCAACCTTCCAGAGCATGATGAACAAGATCTTTGCGGATATGGAAAACTGTGTCGTCATTTACATTGTTGATTTGTTAATATTTACAAAGTCGGACGATGAGGCTGAGCATGACAGGATCGTGCAAGAAGTCCTTCAACGCTCACAGGAATGGGACCTATTTGTCAAACCTGAAAAATGTAATTTTAAAGCGAAGGAAGTAGACTTCCTTGGTATGATCATAGGCCAGAACGGAATCAGGATGGATCCTGAGAAAGTTCAAGCTATCTTGGATTGGCCAGAACCTACTCGCTGTTACGGTAACACAATTTTCAGACCTTCCCTTTACTTTTATTCTCCGCTTTAACCTTGTACTTTAGCTTTCACACATGGTGCCACGCGGCACTTTCCCCTTTTGGTTCTAACTCCTCTTTCTCGCGCCGCATTGCCTTTCTTCTTATTTTGGACTCAACTTTCTCACACAGTGGAGCTGATTATGCGGGCTAGGCCCCATGACATCATCAGCCACTGTCTCTATCAACTGTATAGTACACATGTACAAATAACCCTGTAGTAGTATATATACCCCAATAGATCAAGGAGACTCCTCAGCGAGTCCTCCTGTTGTTAACCAACGAACTCTCTACAGCTCAAGGGGTAACCACTCCCTCATCATCCTCCTTATAGTGTGTTTCTGTGTGCGCCAGAGTAACTAACTCTTGGTTGTTACACTCGCGTCAAAGGAGTTAGGGCCTTCCTTGGCTTAGGCAATTTCTACCGAAGGTTTATCAAAAACTTGGCAAAAATCATGAGACCGTTGAACGATCTCACTAAAAAGGACATTGTTTGGCACTGGGGCGCCAAGGAACAAGAAGCTTTTGATAAGCTTAAACAGGTGTTTACAACAGCGCCCATATTAGCATTTCCAGAATTAGACAAAGAGTTCCAGCTAGAAACCGACTCTTCTGATTTTGCTACTGGGGCTGTTTTGTCGATTAAATGCCCTGACAATCTTTGGAGGCCTTGTGCCTATTTATCACATAGTTTGTCGCCTACAGAGCGCAACTATCAAATTTACGACAAAGAGATGCTGGCCATCATTAGAGCCTCAGAGCACTGGCAGCACTACTTAGAAGGTGCTAGACACCAATTTGAAATTTGGACCGATCATAAAAATCTGGAGTATTTTATGACGGCCCGAGACTTGAACCGGAGACAGGCCCGCTATGCGGTATACTTGTCTAGGTTTAATTATAACTTAATTCATAAACCGGGAACTTCAATGGGGAAAGCAGACACTTTGTCCAGAAGAGAGGATCATGCCAACGGCATCAAAGATGACAACAAAGGTGTTACCCTGATAGACCAATCAAGGGTTGCCAATGTTAGAATCGGGCAGGATTCCAATCTTCTGGAAGTCTTCAAGAAAGACATCTCCTCAGAAGAGAAGGCGCGCCTTGATGGCAATAAAAACTATTTATGGGAAGACAGGCTCTTCCATTTTAAAGACAAAATCTATGTGCCTGAGTCCGCAGGGATCAAGGCAATAGATAGACATCATGACACTCACTCCAGTGGCTGGGCACCCGGGGTGGCAACGAACAATGGAGTTGATCTCCAGAAACTATATGTGGCCTGGCATGGTCAAAGACGTACAGGAATACGTAAAATCCTGTCTGAGATGTGCCATGGCCAAGAATTCTCACCAACCGCCGGCTGGTAAACTTATGCCAAATCCGATACCAGCTGGTCCCAGGCAAGATATATCAGTTGATTTCACAACGGAGCTGCCCGAGTCAAATAGGTATGATTCAGTAATGGTGGTAGTAGATCGTTTCTCCAAAGAAGTGGTATTCATACCCACCAATAAAACCATTACTGCTGCTGGTACGGCAGATTTATTTAAAGATTTTGTATGGTCTATCCATGGGTTACCAGAAACGGTTATCTCCGATAGAGGGCCACAATTCGCTAGCGGATTTACAAAAGAGTTATGCCGGATGCTGGGCATCAAACCTAAGTTATCAACGGTGTTCCATCCGCAGACTGATGGACAAACGGAGAGACTCAACCAGGAGTTGAAGCAATACCTCCGTATATTTATTAATGACAGGCAGACGGATTGGGCCAAGTGGCTAAAGATAGCCCAGTTCTCTTATAATATCAAACAGTTGTCAGCTACAGGAAAGGCACCATTCGAGGTTACTAGATCATACCTGACCAGAATGGGTGTAGAACCTGGTAAAAGCAAGAACGAGGCTGCTGGGAACATGGCCAAAGACATGAAGTCTGTCTTGGACGAAACGCGCAAGGCGCTATTCAAAACTGCAGAGCAGATGAAAGACAGGGCAGAGTGTAGACGCTCTAAGGCCCTGACTACAAGGTCGGCGACCTGGTCTGGTTAGATACTGACCACTTAAAGTTAAAAGATCGGCAGTCTAGAAAACTGACCAAAAAATGGATTGGCCCTTACCGAATTAAGGAAGTCAAACCCAACGCAGTGGAGCTGGAACCCCCAAAATGAATGAGGGTAGTACTCACGGTCAATATTAGCCATGTGAAACCCTACAAAGGGCCGCTGCTGGGACAGCGTATAGACCGGCCCGGACCGGTTGTAATCACCCAGAAAGGTGAAAAAGAGTTTGAAGTTGAACGGGTGGTGGATGCACGCTTGAAGCGTGGCAAATTAGAGTTCCTAGTCCTATGGAAGGGCTATGGAGACGAGGACAGAACGTGGGAACCAGAAGCCCATCTGGACAATTCCCGTGACGCTGTTCGCAAATTTTATTCTAAGAACCTCTCAGCTCCTAGGAAGCTTAGAGGCATGGACTCAAAACTTTTTAATTCTCTTTTTTAACCTATGCCCGAAAATTTAACTACCACCTCTGGTATTTGGTCGAGCCTGGAAGTCGAGCCTTAGAAGGGGGGTAGTGTTACGATA